GATGGACCCAACCGGTTTGAACCGGCCCGGGAACCGGACCGGCCCACTACTGTGCGGGCCTGGACCGGACCAGGCCCGGATGACCGGTTCCGGGCTTTAGCCCGGTTTGGGCAGGTCTAGCGGGCCAGGCTCGGGCCTTGATTTTCATGAACCGGCCCGGGCGGTCCGGGCCGGGTTCATTTTTTTTGTTTTTTCAATTTTTTTTTCTTTTCCTTGGGTAGGGCTGGGTGTTTTGGGGGGTTGGGGTGAGAGAGGGGGTCGAGGGTTAATTACAAAGCCAAATTTTTTTTACCTTGAACCGGGTCCAGACCGGCCCGACCCGGTTTGGCCCGGACCCGATATCAACCCGGGCCGGTTCCGGGCCCAACATCCTGGAAAAAAGCCCGGCTTGAACCGGCTCGGCCCAGTGCATGCCTAGCCTAAGGTCTAAATAACTTGATTAAATAAGAAAGATAAATAAATAAATAATCCTGACTTAAATGAACATATAAAACATAACGCATTTCATCTTTAAAGGACTTTAAGCCCAAAATATATATACTCGTGAACCAAATCATATCCTTATATATGTTCTCTAACTGTAAATCAACAAAGATAGTTAGAAAAAGTGAAAACCATGTAACTTACAGTATGCTAAAACTAAATATTTTGAAAGTAAAAATCAAATATTGAAAAGTTATAAAATCATTCTCATGATTTTGTATGCTCAAATTAGGAAAGGAAGTAAATTTGTACATTGTTAGGAGTTCACCTTTTTCGTGACTGAAGTTTGATTAATATACAATAAAAGAAGCTACCCATAAACCTACTATAAAGTTCGCCCGAAGCAAGGAAATGTATAAACAAAAATTTATCTAGGAGTGCCATTTTTTACTCAACCGTTTTTTAGCAATATAGTAATAGAGGATGAGAAGTCCAATTTCGAAATTGATTTTAAACAAAAATTGAATAAAGAAACTTATTGATGTTAATTTTGAAGGTGAGGCTTTACAAACAAATTCATTGTCGTTGTAAGATAATAGTGGTTGTAAAGAGAGATTATCTCATTGTGAGGAATGGAGAACACGTGGATTTTGGCCAGCATAGAAATCAAATAACATGAGAAATGTCAGTTGCTTTTAGTTGGCTTAAAAACTCATTTTAGGCTTTCAAGTTCTTGGAGAGTATATCTCCGAGTTGAACTGTGTTGGTTTAAGTAAAACTTAATAATTTAAAAAAACTTATTTAAAATATGATTTAAATGTTTAATAACGTCTAGATACAGTTCAAGTAATATATGCTCAATGAGAACAAAAAACCATGTCACTTTTAAATAAAGAAGTAAGAGATCTTTTGCAAGAACTATGTAGGTGAGCTGAATTGTATTTTGAATTTAATATATGAAAAATTCAGATGTAAGACAGATAAAATTACCGAGTATGAATTATTAATAATAGTTAACCTTAAGAGAATCCATCTTTCCTATGTTCTCTAAAGGAGTTTGATAGAATTGAAAAACCCAACACCTAGAAGATGGATAGCTATAACTCTTGTTCCAATTCCAAGTTTGTTACATTTCTTGCCAGCCCAGGAGCTGCATATAAGGGTGGAAGAATTCCAGGTTACCATCATGACATGTGGAACAGAAGAAGCATGCAAAATCTATCAGATTCAATAAATGCTGAAATATGAGGAAGAAATGATAAAGAAAAGATAATAAGAGCAATGCATAAGAGTGAGATAGTGAGATCTTGATTACCATTTTGTTTTTTAACTAATTTTTCTTCTAGGAAGAACTTCCCTGTATGGAGCAAGAAGATGAAGCATACATAAATACATAATAATATGGTTGGAAATATTTGATCTTTGCAAAAAAAAATATTTTCACTTACCATATTTGAAAGAGTACATATCAATTCTATGCTGGCCCAATAACTTTAGATCAGGGAGGAGTAGAAGACTTCCAAATTAGCTTACTGAAATGTGGAACAGAAGAAGAAAAGTCTATAAGTTTCTGTAAATGCATAAATTTTAGGAAGAAGCGATATAGAAGAGAAAATAAGAGCAATGAGTGATAGTGATATTTTGATTATCATTGTGTTTTTCCTCACTATTCTTTTTCTGGGAGGAACTTCTCTGTATGGATAGAAAGAAGTGAAACATACATAACCACAAAATAATATCTTTGAAAATACTTGAACTTTGAGAAAAAAGAAAACTATTTAAACCTTTATAATATTTTAAGGACTAATTATCTATTCTCTATCTAAATTGTAATAAAGTGTAACACTTAATGTTCAACGGATCCATACTAAAAATGCTTTTAAAGCACATAGAGACTGATTCCGAACGACCCATATACACATTTGTTGGATGAGAAACAAAAATCACTACCACGTTTCTCCCACTTGTGTTAATATTTATCTCGTTTGAACTGACGTAACTATAAAAATCAAACAAAGGTTGTCTAAAATATCCACTTTAAAAGTCAAAACATTTCTCCCTTGCCATTATAATCCATGGATGCTGCTTTTTAATAATTAAAAGTCACAAATCCACTTTAAAAGTCAAAAACCATTTAGAATAATATTTTCTTTCAAAATTATATATTAGGATAATAATTAAATAATTAAAAATCGTTAGCGTAATATAAAATATACATCCAAATAAACTTACAATACTTTTAAACTTACAATAACTTAAGTACTAAAAAAGTACTTAGAATTTTTGAATTTAAACCACAAAAACTGATGGAGTCCGAAGCAGTGTCCTCTGCTCTACATCACCCGGGACTTTAGTCAGTATTATCAACTTGACCTCCAGCAACATCCAAGTAAAGATAAACTGGATCAAGTAGGTTGAGTCTATGTAAAGACAGAAGCTTTAAAGAATAATAAATAATTTTGAGCAATATGGTAAAATAGCAGAGACATTCAATTGATTCACTGTGGTTCACAGATAAAATAGCCGAGACACCAAGTAATGTAAGAAAACCTTGAGAGACACATTTGAATTTTGAAGTACAAAATTTGGAGCATAAGTATAACATTTATAACTCCGGCTTCAAGATTCATAAGTAAAAGAATTTAAAAAATAAAAGTGGTCAAATAATTTCCTATTTTGACAGTTAGCTTCTGTGTTCAAGTTGTTTATTGTAGTATAACAAAATATATGAGTTCCATTGATGTTGGGATGTATTTTACTCAACCTGATCGAATCTGATATCGAATTAAGCAAAACAATTTGATCTATAAGAAATACCTAATCTATGAGAAGGTCAAATTGAATAGATGGCTAACTTAACTTTAAGAAGGGGTTGAGATTATAATACCTATTCGAATGGAAAGCTTAGATCAAAGAAATGACCAAGTGCTTTTTGTGGGAGATGTGGATGCCTGAGGTGCAGGGCCTTGACGGCTTCGAAGGGCGGGGGTGATATCGGCATAGAGGGGTAGATGAAGTTTCTCGAGCTCTTCAATTCTAGCAACAATCGCCAATGGATACGATGTAGAAGTCTCTTGTGGGAGCTACTGAGGCCTGTGGTGCGGGACTTGACGGGATCGAAAGAAGAGGGTGATTTCGGCTCAGAGAGGCCTTGAGTTCATCAATTCCAGCAACGATCACCGAAGGGTACGGTGGAGCGGTCTCTCTGGGGGAGCTATCGAGGCCTGAGGAAATTATCAGTGCACTGGAATTGGAGTGGACATCGAGAAGAGAAGGCAGAGAAAGCCCGACGATAGCTGAGCGTATAGAAGAAAAGATCACGAGCGATTAGCTTTCGAGTAAAATTACATTTTGGTGAGGAGCTTTGGGCGGGAGAAATCTTATCTCTCATACGTAGCGCCTTTAAGTGTATATATACAAAGATTATTACATGATTTTTAAGAGACCCTAAAAAAATCTTTCGGCTCAAGCCTTTAAATTGCTAGGATCAGTGCTTATATTATACTTCCTCCGTTCTTTAATTCTTGCAATATTGTGATTTTTGCACTATTCAGACCTTACTTTGATCATGATTCTCTACTAATATACATAATCAAATTATTACGTATAAAATGTTGATGAATTCCTATCAATGTGAATTTCCAAAACATAAACATTTTATAATGTTTACTAATACATAATTAAATATAATTACAGTCAAAGTTGTGCGTTGTCAAAGGTGAAAGTCAAACTATTGCAAGAATTAAAGAACGGAGGATAGTATTACTTTCTCAAAAATGATTAACTCAAATTTTAATTTGAGGGCTGATGATGTGGAAGAGTTTTACTGTCATATTGTAGCTTGTCTGAATTCTAATTATCAAATATAAGCCGTTTTAGTTGAAAAAATACCACATATGTATGTAAGGTATGCCTAAAAGTTACTACCTCCGTCCCATAAAATTCTTCTCACTTTGACTTGACACGGAGATTAAGAAAGTGGAATATAGTGAAAATGTATGGTTGTGGTTGTGTAAGAAAAAGGTGAAAAGAATGTGAACCACACAAATTGTCCAAAAATGGTAAGTGGGGAGAATTTTTTGGGACGACCCAAAAAGGAAAGTGGACATAATTTTATGGGACGGAGGGAGTAATATATTTAGGTCTCTTTCATTTGAGGTACTTCTGGTTAATGAAATTTTGTGAACATATTTTTCATGAAGTGTAGATTATGTCCACCGAATTTCAGCTTAAATTTCAATCGAGAAATCAATTAAATAAGTGGTTGAAAAAATTGCATGTTTTATGTACAAAAAACTGCACATTTTTCAAAATTTATTTAAATGACTTTTCGATTAAATTTTAAGTTGAAATTTGGGAGGCTTTACATACACTTCATGGATAAAATGCTCACAAAATTTCATCAAAAAATTAGTAGGGGAAGCAACTAAATCAAAAGAGACCTGCAATTATAACCTTATACATGAATTTTCTGCATTTAATTAAACATAAATTAGTTAACTGAATTTCGGTTAATCTACCGTAACGATCCGGAAAATTGGTTTACTACTACCCAAGTACCCATTTGCCCGTTTCCTATCGTATCCTATTCGGGTTCAGTTCGACCCGATCCTACATCTCGAACCAGGCTATCAGGAATAGCTTGATTTCTACCTCTTCCTATCTTCGCATCGAACACACCGAAGCAATCGACGGTCCAGATTCGCCGACTATAGTCTCCGATTGTCGATGTTATTTACCGCCCACGCGCTCCATCTAAGCTCAAGTACTTATATATCTATGCGCAGATTCAATTTCTGAGCAAGAGTCGCTTTCCATGGCCTCTTCGGACAACGAAGATGAATCCCTCGCCCGATTCCTGGAATCCGAAGTCCTCGCGTTTGCCGACCAGGTAAAATGCTGGATTACATTAATTTGTATTTAAAGATTCAATCTTTGTATTTCTGCGGGTATTAGTATGCATGCTCGTTTATTCGTATGCGTTATGATCTCATTTTGTGCTGTTATCACTTGTTTGGAATATCTCTGGATTGTTTTTCATTTTCATTGCTAGTTAAATTTTCACGATCTACGTGTTACATTTTCAGAAGAATAAATTGAATTTGAAAACAGTGAAATTTACTGCTTTTTTTATTTTTAATTTCCTCTTTCTTCTTGTTGTTATGTTTAATATGCCTAGCTTCCTGATGTTCCTCATGCATGTTTGAGCGCCCTGTTTGTTATATTATTGAATGTTCAGGCAAATGTCCTTGCAGGATAAAGAGAATGATGAAGAAGAGAAGGGAGGCAGAGAGACAAAGGAGATGACATCCAATAATGACATAGAAGAGAATGAGGATCCGGTGAAGGAGTGGGGAGAAGAAAGAGCACTCAAGAAAATGAGATTTGTTAAAGATGAGGTCCAGATAGACGAGGAACATAAGGAATTAGCAGAAGGAATTAGAGTTGACGTAGCTGAACAAGTGAAATCTGTATTATCATCTCCATTTTTAGCTAAGGGTGCATCTGCTTCATTGGAGATCAACAATACAGTTAAAGAAAGAAAAAACAATGCTCTTTGGGCTCTGAGGTGGATGGAAACTGGGGTTTTTCGCAAAATACCTCCTGAGTTGCTTCACCAAATACTTAAATTCCTTTCCTCAGAGGTGTCATTTAAAAAAAAACGTTGTTGTTAGGATGAATTAGACATTTCATTTTTTTTTTATTTTCATGTGTTTGTATTTACTATGGTACTTACATACAACGCGAATGATAATTTTTAGAAAACGAATATTGCGTAATAAACTATTGGTCGTTGAAAGCAGTGCCTTTTTAAAATGTTGGCAGGATCTTGTTGCGTGTTCACTCTCTTGCAAATTCCTGAACTATGCTGCATCTGATGAATCGTTGTGGCGTCGACTGTAAGTGTTATCTTTCTCTTACTGTATTTTATTCTTTCATTGTTCTACATTTTAAGCATCTATCATGCCCCACATCATGCTGTTCTGTACGTATTGACTGAAATATGTACATGTTGAAGATTTTTTTCTAAAAAATGTCTCACATAAGTTAAATACGAAGTATGAAATAACAAACCAACATATAAGACATTGGATTACTCCTTCTATTAGGTTGACATGTTAGTATAGAACCTCTAGGCTTGATGTGCTATCAAATTCAGAATGATCCATAGTCATGGTCTTAGAATCCTATTCAGAAATGCATTATTGCATGATCAAGACAACAAAGTGTGATTGATCATAAGGTGTGTTGAAGAATTTATACCTTACAAAACTAGTAGTACCTCCGTCCCATTTTATGTGTCCTACTTTGATTTGACACAATTATTAACAAAGTGATTGAAAAAGTAAAAGTTGTGGTTGAGATTTGAGTATACTAAAGTGAAATGTTGTGGACCACATATCTCTTTTCAAAAAAAGGAAATGTGACACTTGTTTTTGGGACAACCCAAAAAGGAAAGTACGTCCCAAAAAGGTAAAATGGGACGGAGGGAGTATGAAATAACAAACCTACTTATAAGACACCGAACTTCTCATCTTATCGAGTTGACATTTTAGGATGAAACTCTTTTTATCCATGTTCATCTATTCATCTCTTTTGTTGAAAAAAATGGGTATGGTTGTTAATTTGGTGTACGAAGGTCAAATGCATATTATAATTGGAGAAAATGACTCTTTCAATAGAGGACAAAATATAAAGAAAAATAAATCGACACACACAGGAAGCGATTTCTTATCATTACAAGATGTCAAAAAACAACTTGTTTGCGATAAATCTTCCTATCACTACTTTAAGAGGAAAAATAGAAAGGTTAAATATTCCATATCCAAAAAAAGATGTAGACAGAAAATATTTGAATTGGAAAAATATTTTTTCTTACGTTTAATAAGAGCTCGTTTGGTAATACCCAAATCGGTTGTATTGACTGATTCTGCTAAAATTCATGAAGTTCTGGCTGAAGTGGATGTATTGGCTTATTCTGCTGTTTTAAGAAAAAATTATATTTAAAATATATCATTAATACAATAAAGAAAAAATTATATGAAAATCAGCTAAAATGATCCTCTTGAGTAACTTCAGCCAATACATCGAGAAAAGTAACTCCAACCTTACTTTTTCTTATTATTACACAATTAAGCGCGCGAAATCAAAAGTACGTGTTTGGTGAAAAAAATGGCAGTAAGCCAGATAAGCCAATTAGCCAAAAAACAAGGTCACCAAACGGGCTCTAAACGTGTTTATGCAGGTACTGTATGAGGTGGGGTCTGCTTCCACCAAATAGACCACGGGAATGTGCTTGGAAGATGATGTACATTCAGGTGTTTGTTTAGTACTTGATTCATTTGTCCAGTTTAAAATATTTTTGTTGAAGTATAAGATTTAGTAACTTGTGTATTCCTACAGCGAGATACAGATGATATGGCGGAGTTTGTTAGGCACTGTCCATCTGAATTCAAACAATATTACATCCAAATGCAGGCAGCAAAGAGAAGCCAAGCTCCTCTTCTTTCACAAGTAAAACAAAATTAATGTTCCTTGAAGCATTTTGGTTCTCTTGTTTAAATAAAAATGGACAAATTTCAAGGACGGATTAACCCCTCCCCTGAGTGTAAATAATGAATTTATGAAGTATGGGTTGGCCTTACATTTTAATTACTCCTTCCCCTGAAAGACTAATTAACAATTTACTAGTGTTCATTTTTTTACCTGTTTACTACAATAAAAAATGCTCCCTTTGTCCCAAAAAAGAGTCATGCTTGGTGAAGGTACAATTTTGTTAATTTTGCTAAGGACCAAATTTAAAAGTAATGTGGACACATTAAATGCTAGTACCTTTCTTATGTTCTTATGTTATTTTTATCCTTTATCTTTCGTATGTCCTTTTATCTCATATCTATCTTTATCTTTATCTTATCCTTTTATGTTACCTTCTTTTTATTTTCCTTATCTTTCTTTCTTTTGTGGCTCCGATATCATAGATCGATTCATCTTATCCTTTTGGGAATTAGGCTTGTTTGTTGTTGTTGTTGTTGTTGTTGTTGATTCTGTTTGAAATTCATTGAGGGAATAATCACCAAATAAAAACCAAACTATGTTGCGGATTGGTTCAGTTTGAATTTATTGTTATTTTTAAATATATATTAAGGCTTTATTTTATTCCTTAATTTGGTTGAGTTTTTTTTTTCGCCCGGTTTAATACAGTTTTGCCTGTTTGGAAAGAAATTGCCAGATGAAAATGGTTGAGTTTTATTCAGCTCAGTTTCATATGGTTTTGTCCGTTTGAAAAGAAATTACCAGATTAAAACAAAATTGTATATGGTTCGGTCTAGGTTTGAGGTTGGGTTAGGCCAAACGGCCCAAACCAAACCAAAATGTTCACCCTCTAGCTTCATTGATGAAATAGAACTTTTTTTGGGGGACAAAACAACTTTTGAAATAACGTTCTTTTTATGGGGCAGGGCAGTAATTGTTAATTGGTGTGCTTTGACTGCCACTTATCATTTTATCAATGGTAAAAGCCTCATGCTGTTTGCTATGCCAATATGCTCCGTATTATAACTGTTATGATTTGATGTGCAGGTGAATGATGATCATATAATACTTGATAAGACTATAGCTGATCAAATCTCCATATGGAAGAAAAACAAAGGCCTTAGTGATAAAGTGTGGGCAGATCATGCTTGCTCTGGGGAGACTTGCACTTACTATCAAATTGGTGATGTGTTTCTTTGTGAGAGTACAGGACAAGTGCATGGTATGAATTTTCTTTTATGATCATAACTTTTTTTCAATATAATTACATGTTACTACCTTAAAGGAATGTTAAATTATAGGAATATGATATTACATTAATAATTTGTTTGATTCTGGAATGCGATTTTACTAAAGTGTTGCTTTTCTACTGTCTTCATGTAGTATGTGATGACACATGCAAGGAAGTCGTTCTTGATCCATCAAATGAGCTCTTGGTGTGTACCATTTCAGGTCACTGTTTTGACAGAATGCTGTCTCCATCAGAAATAGATCTGGATGCGGTATGACTGTTTTACCCCCAGGGATTAATAAAGTTATTTTTTTCAAGAATGATACTTCTTACATTCGTGTTCAGTTGCAAACTACTTGCAATCGTTTGACTTTCACTTTTGACTATTAATAAAAGTTATAAAAACATTTTTTTGGAAAGTTTACATCAAAACAAATTTAACTTTTTTTTTAATATGATAATTAATATACTACTCCGTAATAAATAAATTGTAGTCAAAGTAGTGTATGAATAGAGCAAAAGTGGAACTATTGCATCTATGAAAAATGGAGGTAGTATAAACAGACTCTTGTGGCCAACATACATGAAAGCCTTCTTTAGCTTTATTTCCTGATTTGAATATTTATTTTGAAAGTAGTTTGAATATAAAGACGCTCCTGACATAATAACAATGCCAATAATGATCGTAAAAGGAATGATAGATTTTTTTATCCAAGCACTTTGCTTTGTTGCTCTAGTTTTTATAAGCATGCATGGTGCAAACAGTGTCAAACCTTATATTTCTTTTTTTGGGAAAAATAACTAAAATACCCCAAATTTTGAAGGGGTGTGAGGTAAGCACCCCAAACTTGCATATGTAATTTAAATACCCCTAACTTTATATAAAAAGTTATTTTAGCACCATTGTCATGTATAATTTCTTTCAAAACTGTTACTTTTTGGTGTTAATTTCATAATTTAAAATATTTTAGCATTCATGAAGATACAATTAACATTCTAAACTTCCATTTTAAAATAAATAATACTATATCCACTCGATATAATCGCAACATTTTTAATTTGCTATTTACAATTATGCAATGAACACCATAAATTTACATTTTGAAAGAAGTAATATATGACCATGGTGCTAAAATAACTTTTTATATAAAGTTTGGGGTATTTAGATTACATATGAGAGTTTGGGGTGTTTATGTCACACACCTTCAAAGTTTGGGGTATTTTAATTACTTTTTCCTTCTTTTTTATCGTGCTTGCACACGCCCACGTGTGTGCACACACATGCCCACGTGTGTGTGCGCGCACACACACACATACAATGCCAATAGAGTTGGTGGATTTTGCTACTAAGCATTGTTGCTCTATCACTATTTTTTATCTTGATGGATGTGTTAATGCTTCAAACATTATTTTCCATATTTTCATGCATGCGCTTTAATTTTTGAGAGGGAGAGGTTGTGACCTAGGGAGAGAGGATCGGCTGAGTGTGTAAACAGTACGTGTGAAAAATATGGACGCTTGAACTCTTATGAGTTCTGTTTGATAGCATCTTTTTGTCCTTATTGACTAATGATTCTACTGAGCAATGACATTTTTGGTATGCTTAAAGTAATAAGAAAGGAATATAGCAGGAGAAAGTTGGGGAATATGAAAGAATTCTAATCATGTAGTTTGATTGATGGAGTGGGGAATAGGGAAGGAAAAAAGATCCCTCAGAGTAAGGGGACGATGATTCCAAATCTATGGGGAATTAATTTTCTAAGTAGAACATTTTGGATGTACCATACTGCGAAATTAACTCTACCTTAGAATTAAAGAGGAAAGGAGTAGAATTTCCCACCAACCAAACGTGTTGTAATTTATAACTACTGTTAAAAGATAAAAGCAGTGCAAAAGTTTTTTGTAAAAAGATTAGCGGAATGAGGATAAATGACACTCTGTCTTCATACTTTTGATATTACTTTGTTTAACCTATTGAAAAGATTTAGCAATTTCAGAACATCGTAATTAGATAACTCAAGACAATGTACATTTGTACTTACGTGCAAGAATCATGTGCTCCATATGTGTTTAAACAAAATCTCGACTTGGGTGTGGCTAGTGATTTGCTCTTTCAACTCAATAATGCATTTTTCTCCCTGTAGGAACAACAGCAGGGCAGTGGGATTGACGAAGCAGAACCGTTCATGGGATCTGGCCGATTTGGTTGGTGTTCATCCTTCATTTGTTTTTCATTAGATTTAAAAGGCCTTGTGCTAATCATAAAAGTTGGGCCTTCGGTAGTAACAATTATGCAGAAGTTTAGTCTTGAAATGTGTTTCAAATATTATCTTATAATATTCATATTTTTTATAACTAAAACACTAAAGTAGCTTTTTAAGAAGGCTAAAGGGTCAAAGAGGTCCATGTACCAGCCGTGTAAGCTCAATTCAGTCCCTGAACTAAAAAAGGTTCAATTCACACCCCGAACCGACCAAAAATGGTTCAAATTTCATTTTTTTACCGGTAAACAACCGGTCATTTTTTTAATTTTTTAATTGTTTTTTTAATAGTTTGGGGTGCGAATTGGACCTTTTGCAATTTTGACACTTTTTAATAGTTTGGGGTGCGAATTGGACCTTTTTTACCGGTTGTTTAACCTTAAAAAAATGAAATTTGAACCCTTTTTTGCCGGTTCGGGGTGTAAATTTGACCCTTTAGCCTTTTTAAGAACTTATATATAATACTATATGGAATTTATTTTCATAATTTTAGGCCTTACAATGCTCCTCACACGTGTGCCACGTACATACATTTACACACACACACATACATACTCCCTCCATCCCGAACTAAACTTCTTGTTCTGGTTTGGCACGCTTATAAGTAAAGTGGTTGAAAAGGAAAAGATGTGGTTGAGGTTTGAATAGAAAAGAGTGAAAGGATGAGAATTACATATTTCTTTCATTATAAGGAAACTCTGAGACCGAGACTCTGAGAGACTAATATTTTGGAATGGCCTAGATAAGGAATGGAGCCAAAGATTCATTATTTTTTGGCTTGAGATTATGATGGAATAAAGCAAAATGGCTCACTAAACTGTCTGCGCTTCTTTGTTACGGAGCAGCAGTCAGTCCATGCAATTTTGGACGCGATTTTCACTATGGGTCATCCGGAAACAGTCTCTTTGTGCTTTAGTACAGGGGTAAGATTGCTTACCTCCGACCCCCTTACCGCACCGTAGGTGGGAGCCTTTGCGGCATTGGGGTAAATGAAAATGAAAATGCCTAGATAAGGAAAATAGGAACTTTATCTGGGTACCGAGACTTTGAGAGACTAATATTTGCTGTTCTGTCTTTGACTTTTCAGCTCGAGCTTATTTGCTAGGCTACAACTGTGATGATGAGAAGGAACTTGAAGCTGCTTTGAGGTTCTGCTAATCTTATTGCTTGCATGTGTATATAGCTGTATCGTCTTCTTGTAATTTGGAGTCTGGACCGTGGTAGATTATGCTTACCATGTCGGCATGGTAGACCATCGGCTCGAGCGTGGTAGGGTGTTGTTTCAGTAATGGCTTTTCACTTTAAGTTATTATTATTATTATTACTTTTAATGTATGATTATGATATCTTATTACAACAACTTATCACATCCCAAATAGAGGTTATAGCAATGCAGCATGATGCATTTCCCCCCGATAATAATTATTTTCATGGTTAGCATTTAAGTAGAGAGAAAATGTAGGTTGCTGTGAATTGGTGATTTTTTCACAAAATTATGGGTGCAGTAACCAAAATCCTACAAGTCTACAACTCTACATTTAGGGGTGACCTTGTTATGATAAGATGATAACCAGAACAAGACTATCGGTTGATCTGAGTTTGAAACGGAAAACAGTTCCAAACCGAATCAGCTCAAGGAATCGGCCGCAATTTCTTGCTTTTCGTGAATTTAATGACCGTCCGTTGAACATATTTATATTTTGATTGAACGTATTTTAATTGAGTATAATTTGAATGATAAGGTGTTTGCTATTGGTTTTGATAATGCTACTAATAATACTGCTGCTATTCCTAGATTGCGTGAATTGTGTGGTTCTACTTCTTTGATGGGTAGATTTTTCATCAACGATGTGCATGTCATGTTATAAATTTATGTGTGCAAGATGGGTACAAAAATTTCTATAAATACTCTTACTTTCTAACATTTTTATATAAATCTTCTCCATTCTCCATTTTCATCTCCATCTATAAATATATTCTATTATTTATAGAATTATTATATCTACCATTTTTAAGATGGAAAATCAATATGTCGTTATCGCGTATAATTTTTATACGCAGTCAAGATGTGCTATGCAAGTTGCAAATGATGCGGGAAAAAGTGTAGCTTGGGGGGTTTCACGTTGATATGGGATGGCCAAGAAGCATATTACGTAATGTGACAAAGCCAAAGGATCGAAAAATTCCGATTGATTACAAAATGTATTTCATAGTGTATTTTTTTCTCAATTGTCAAATGTAATTCTTATTTCATTTCAAATAAATGCACTTGAAGTTTGTTTTTAATACTTGTATAAAACTATAAAGTATAAATAAGTAAAAAAAAGTACCCAGCCCGACCCGGCCAGGCGGGTGGCCCGACCCGCATCGGAACCGTTCTTACCTCGGGCCGGTCCCGGGCCCACCTATTATAAACCGGAGGCCCGACCGGTTTTAGGCTCGGGTTGGGCCCGAACCGGCCCGAGTCCATGACTAGTTTCGGTCCTTTTTATAGCTGACAAATGAGTTGAGAATCAAACGGGTCTGAACTAGGTGTGGACCGGTTCGGGCCCGGTCGGGCCTCGGTTCATGAAAGGGGAGGCTCGGAATCGGCCCGGGCAACCCCCGGGTCTGGTCCAGGCTGGGCCTCGGTTCATGTTTTTTTTTTTTGCATTTCCTAATTAACCCCCAGCCCTCCCGCCTCACCCCCAAACCACCCCAAACCTCCTCAAATGGCCCATCATACCCAGCCCGACCCAAAAACCTAAAAAAATTCAAAAAAAAAGAAAAAATAGATAAATTGGCCCGGACCCGGCCCAAACTGGCCGGACCGGTTCACTATTTAGCAGGCCCGAGCCCGAAACGCCTACCTCACCGGGCCGGGTGGCCCGAACCGGGCACCAACCGGTTCACCGGGCTGGTCCGGGCCTGCACAGTAGCGGGCCAGTCCGGTTCCCTGTCGGTTGGCCCAGCCGGAGTCCACTCCTAGTCTGAACTCTGAATTGGGTATACATGATCCGGTTTTACCATTTCACAAGCACCAAGAATGGGGAGTCGGTTCAGCCCTATCCCATGAAGAGGGTTGATCTACTGTCGATTTCATTACAAATCAAATAAATATGGCTTTTTATTTGTAGAATTTCAAAGAAAAGATCTCAACAACCATTCTTATTTAATAAATTGAAATTCGTAAAATTTTGTAAAATACGTAGTACTAGTATATCCTAATAATTATTAAATTGAAATATAAAAATTAAAAGTAACATCTACTCCGGGCGTATAAAGGTTCTCACTTTCCTTTTCTGGACGTTCTATATAAAAGTTCTCATTTCTATTTTAGGAAACAATTTAATATAAATGACAATTTAATCAATAAATATTAAAACTAATACTAATCCCATTATATATTAAAATTATTTTCGAAAAATACTTGAATTACTTTATTTAATTATTGTCTAAATAGTTGTGTCGTTTGTCGTGGAAACCTTCCAATAGGAGGGAAGTAGTATAAGTTAATAGTATTGAGGGATCTCGTAACTTAGAAAGTTAGAAGTTTGTCATAAGCACGATTTACATCTTGAAAACTTCTTGTGTCCTACTAAGCTTGACAACTTTTCTTACACGAGTATTTAAAAAATAATGTTACTTCCTTTTAAGTACAAAATAATAAATTTGTAGTTAATATTGTTAAACTTTTCTATGTACAATTTCAACACATTTGATTATTTCTTACGGAGTATTCCACATCCAAGTCAAATTTGATCACACCGTTGTGAGATGGTATGGGCAATAAAAATCACGCAAGAAATATACTCCCTCTTCCTCAAAATAATTGTCTTATTTTCTTTTTCAAATGTTCCAAAATATTTGTCTTGTATCAAAATATTTTTTATTCACATTTTTCTCTTTTGACAATAATTTGTGGCTTGTATCAATTCACATTTTTTATTCAAATCTGAATCACAATTTTTACGTTTTCAACCATTTTTTAAAACGTGTGCTATAGCGAACAAGACAATTATTTTGAGACGGGTGGAGTAACATTTAGAGCTCGTTAGGTAGCATTGAAATTGATTGAATTGGTTGAACCTGTTGAAATTGATGAAAGTCTGATTGAAACAATTGAATTGGTTGAATGTGCTGAATAATGGAAACAGTATATTTAAATTATACTACCTCCGTCCCATAAAATAAGTCTCATTTCAATTTGGACCGGAGTTTAAGAAAGTGGGAATACAGTGGAAATGTATGGTTGTGGTTGAGTAAGAAAAATGTAAATGAATATTAGCCACACAAAACTTTCCAAAACGGGAAATGGGAACAATTTTTTGGGACGGCCCAAAAAGGAAAGTGAGACTTATTTTATGGGACGGAGGGAGTACTTTTTATTAATAAAAGGGAAAATAACTTTAAATAATACCAACTATCACCCATAAACCAATAATAATAGATACTTTGAAAGTGATTTTAATAATACCAACTATTTGAGTATACACAAAAAATAACGTGGAGTCACTTTTCAACAAGAAATCCAGTCATTTAAGACATTAAAAACTAGTAGCAAATTATCAAATAATTGATATTTGGTAATACAGACACTTATTTGATATTTTGATACTAGTTTTTGATTAATTAAATAACCGAATTTTCATTGAAAAGTTGCTCTATATCACTTTTGGTCTAAATTTAAAAGTACGTATTATTCTTATTAATGGAAGATAATTTGTATTATTTATATTTATTTTCCCTTAATAAAATGAAGAAAAAATTATATGAAAAATAACTAAAATGATTTTCTACAATTTTATATTCATAATGAATATAAATTATTTTAAAATAGATAAAATTAAGAAAAATATATGAAAAAATTATATGAAAAATAACTTTCATATTTTTCAACTTTCGGTGATTGTTTTATGTTCAACTTTACATTAAAGTCACCATAAATTTACAATCATAGTAACCTTAATTATATTTTGTCTATAGATTTTATTTCAGTTATATTTTTGGAAAAAACACATTTTTTATAGTTTATGTCATTCATATAACTCAAATATTTAAAATATAGTTAAATTTGATTCACATGATTCAACTAATTTCAATATTGCTAAGGATCTATTTGATAACCTCTATTTTTTATTTATCTACCTTAACAGACAACCTTTTTATAAAATGCATAAGTCTTGGTTTTGTGCGTAGAATTGTTGGACAATCAAAATAAATAAGGTCAAAGATATTATGGAGTATTTGTTGATTAATTTGCAACTATTTTAGTTATTTTTATATAATATTCATTTTATTGATATAATATATTTAAATATTTTTAACAATGAGGTAGATTCAATCAATTCACATGGTCTAACCTAATGACACCAACAGATTAGGGTGGGTTTGGTTTTAGGTTCAATTTGGCTAAAAATTAAATTTGGGACCAAAGTAAAAGTTCACTTCTATTTGTTTTCGTTTTACATTTCAAAACTTTAAGTCATGGTTTGATTGGTTCAATTTATTTCAAGTGTGTGTATTCTTTATGTACACTTTTTTGTGTTTAGTTTGAAAAAATATACGATAGTATATATCTGCGTAGTGCATTTGATGAGATGAATACTTTTTTGTTCTGTCAATATAAAATTTTAAGCATGGATAAAAAAAGCTAATAGTATTAAGTAGTAAAAATATGACTATCATGCAACAAGCTACAAAAACTTACACAAAATCAATTTGATCAATATAGTTACTTACATTAGTCGTGACGCCCCTCTCAGGGTTAAAGGAAACGCTACATAAACTTACTACTTAAAAAAACTGCAATATAACGGTCGTTTATTTAAGAAATAACCCTGATAAAAATTCAAATATAACTAAAATATAACTCCAAATAAAACTCAATAAAATATGGGTTATACTGAGTTTATATTTGGAGTTATATTTTAGTTATATTTAAGGTTTATAACTAGATTTTATTGAGTTTTATTTGGAGTTATATTTTAGTTATATTTGAGTTTTTATCAGGGTTGTTGAAGGTAAAATCCCGTAGATCCGAAAGCCCAACACGAACTTTGGATATATCAGGAATGGTACAAAATCAAAGTGTATAACCAAAATATAAAATATGAACTCACTAATACTCGAAAGCTCACTTGTATTAATTAACCAGTCTGATTACAAGGAAATTCCCGATCGATAGGTCGGAAACAATGCTTTAATACAAGAAATAAGAGCAATAATGCTATTCTAGAGCCTGAGTATTGAAATGCTAACCCTTACAATGACTTAAAACCTTCTATTTATACTAATGGAGAGCATGAGCTGCTCTATGCTGATTGGCTGTTGTTCCACCGACTTGGTCACCCATGTTTCCACTTGCTGATGTCACAATCTGGCATTAATTGCACCTGGCCACTTGCCGGATGTCCGTTGCTCGAACGGGATGTTGGACCATGTTGAAGACGTTGTCAAATTGGCCCAAGTATGATATATAGTCCGAACTCCGTTCGGTATATCTTCTTACTGGGCCAACCCTTTCTTGGGCCGAATCTCGTTCGGCATGAATTCTTCACTGGATCTACTCATCATAGAGTGATGGGCTCGTCGTTTGGGCCGGGTATCTTGGGCCTTCTTGATCCGGGTATTGGGCCTCTGGATCAATATCCCAACAAGGGTTATTTCTTAAACAAACGACCGTTATATTGCATTTTTTTTAAGTAGTAAGTTTATGTAGCGTTTCCTTTAACCCCGAGAGGGGCGTTACATTAATAATTAGTTACATGCGCATGGAATGAGACAACAATAACAACATCCAAACATTATTTCCCCAAAATCTTTTGGAAATAATATAAGAGCCATAAATAGAAGAAAGATAAGAAAAATAAAAAGATAAGATAAAATAGATAAGATAAAAATAAATATAAAATAAAAATAATATAAGAACATAAGATAGACAAAAAACCCAATGATAAAAGAACATGAGAAAAATAAAAAATAAAAATAATATAAGAATATAGAAAGCTAAAGAAGAAAAAGGAAGAGAGAGAGAGAGAGAGAGAGATAAAAGAAAGAGAGAGAAGAGATCAACTTTTTATCACAAAAGAGCGGCTTTATATTAAAACGAGAGCGCATACAAGACAACATTCAGACATATTTTACAGATCTAATTGTGAATCCTAGCAGTAGACATAGAGTCAGTCACCTCATACAAAGTAACATGACTCGCTAAAACTGAAACATGCAAATTTAAGCTTAAAAAGAATGCATATGAAACCCTACCTTTCAAAAGAACTCCAAAAATCCAAACATTCAAACCAGATCTACTAAAGAGAAGATAATATTGAAATAAAATATTTCCACAAAACTCTTCCTAGTATGGGGGGTGGTTCCGGAGGAGGACGAGCTCTTGCAATATGGGTGAGTACCAACTCTGCCACTGTAGGAACGGCCGACCAAGGCTTCACGATCCAGCACCGATACAACCTCCCAGCCGCGAATCGTTCATCCGTCACTGTTGTCTCCTCCGACGTAGTTGCAATCTCAAACGTTAGGACACTTAAAATTAGTATAATATGCCGGTCCAATCCCATATTGATAGGGGTGGCGGAAAATCTCAACTCTCACAAAGAGGGGAGACAGTCGTTAGAAGAGACCAATTTTGTTAACTAAACCATACATATATAACATAGTAACTTAATATGGAGTATCTAATAAGAAATTCATAATAAATATAAACCAAAACATAATATTTCTAGCACACACCAAAGACTGAAATTGATATTAGGATCCATGCTTAAGAGCTAACAAATACAATTTCAAATTTTAATTGTTCATTTATTCACTTCAATTCATTTTAAAGGTCGAACATAAAATCGAACCAAACGTGATTGAATTCAATTTTTTACATTTGGTTTCATTTCTTTTGTGATTCAATTTATATTAATTCAATTTTGGAAAATTGCTCAAAATAGGAGGAAATGAGATTTGAAATTTCAAAATAGGACTAATATATTTTTCTTCCCGAAATAGGAGTAATTAGTGTCATGAATTCCAAAAATACCGTCATGATTGAAAAATAATGTCATTAATTACAATAAATACTGTAAATGTTAAATGAACTGTACTACAACTATTTGACAGTCACGCCTACAAGATGACAGTAAATATTGCCATGTTAGTCCCATTTCAGAAATAAAAACATAATAATCCTATTTTGGAATTTCAAACTTCATTATTCCTGTTTTAGAAAATCTCCAAAATGTCGCAAATTATACCGTGAGATCGGTGCATCAATAGGATGGTGCACCCATCCCAAAACGACACAGTATTACTCGGTATTAATTAGAAAAGCAAATGTGCAGCCGTTGTTATTAGGCCAGATTAAAGAGACTGCGTGCGTTCCGTCTTGAGAGAGAGCATCGGAAGTTGGCCATGACACTCGCCGGCGAGGAAGTAACAGCGGTGCAACTGCTCATCCTCAAGGCGGCGGCACGGCGGCGGCGGCGCTCAGCCTTGATGGCTAATTTGAAGCGTCAATCTTGTCCCGGCAGTCTATCGAAGCCATGCTCTGTTCCCATAAACTTCTGAGCTTGATTTTTTTTTGTGTGCACTTCGAATTGACAATTTATTAAGCGGCTCGATTTGTGTCTTGCAAGATAACAGAGAAACATAGACTCGATTTGTGTGTACACTTCATCTAATACTCAAAAAGAAGAAGCTGGGAACTCATTGGAACTTTGTTCAGAGCCTATAAGCTGAGAATTCATTGGAACTTTATTGAGAGCCTCAGATTAACTTTTAAGAATTGGAATTTTTCTTACACAATTGACTATCATGAATTATTTTAGACATTCTCAATTTACATCTTCAACACGCTCAAGTTACATAAAAATTTGCTTAAAGTTACATATCTATAAGCGTGAGTTACATGTCAACTGTCATCAGCAAGTTACATCATGTTTACATATGATTTACATTTTTCATAATACGAGTTACACCACAATATAATGCGAGATACACAACTCAATAAACCTCTGCTACTCAAAGAAAAATTAATTTTATAAAAAATCATTTTTGTAGCCTTGATATATTAGAAACAAAACATATACACTATTTTTGTAAAATAATTGAACAATTAGACTTCTTTTTTATCATTGTTTACATTTAAATCAAAGTTTACTTCTTATACTATGTATTTAACAAAGTTACATTTCGATTGGACTTGAGTTACATTGATCAATAATGTTAGTTACATATCTTTACACGTGAGTTACATCATTCATGCTACTCGGACAAAAAGAAAGAAAAAAAGTTACTGTACACACATGTACTGTTCACACGATTTTTTTTAATTATGTAAAATTACGTCGTTTTGGAAGTGAGAGCGCTTAAGGTGGGGCAAAATGTGGATAGAAGAGACAAATACGGCCAATTGTGCATTTGTGCTCGGCTCCTAAACGTCATATGCGCGTCCGGAACGCGTAAATTAGAATAATGAAACATCATTGATAAGAAGAGGCTCTCCCTAGGCACGAATATGCGCTCTTGAATTTTAGCATCCTGTACGATTTTACCAGTAAGCTCTTCCTCATTCGAAATCGTGTTTTCCTGTTTTTATTAGGTTTTCTTAATTGAATCTGAAACGTTTTTATGTTTGCGATCATGTATCTGTAACTTCACGATCACAAGTCACAACCTATCAATTACATCCGGTATGAGAATTGTGAGATGCGTTTGCGATTTTTAGTAATTGCTGTGATCCTCCTGAAATAGTGTTGCGAGGCTCTTCCGAATGCTTCATTGAATTTTTTACTTCGCAATATTGGCATAGTTAGGTTAATTAGCCTGTTGTATGTGTTGAGACAGTTGGAAGCTTTCTCGATCATGTGACCGCTACTAATTGATTGCGTGTGAATTTGGAACTGAGATTAATCTTGCCAATTTGATATGGTTTAGGAAAGTTAGTCGCATCATTCATGGTTTCATAGAATCTGGAGCCTTAAATGAACCTTTTCTTGACCTGGCTTGGTCTATTTTTCATTAGTCATGTACGGTGTATGACATATGGAGTAAAATAAGGTGAAAAGCCAATTACTTATAGGGTTGCGCTCCTCAAATTTACTTCTTTTTAGTATCCCAGTACAAGTCAACAAAGATAAGTTTGTATTTTCTCTATTAAGTTTGTGCTTGAAGAATGGTCAAAGTTTGGAAAACATGGATTAGATTAGATGTTCATGTATTTAATGGAGTTTGAAAGAAAACGGTGAGAGGAAAAAGGAAAGTAATGCTTTTAATCTGATTCCCTGCTTACACTTGAAGACATAGCTATATGTTGTGTGTGTGTAATGTGTTTGCTTATACACGCGGGCGTGCACACATGGGTGTACTCCTATCAACATCTTAATCTCATGTACCATCTTTTAGGTACTTTTTGTTTCCACACGTGAAAAATGGGAGGGGGAGATGAGCATAATAAGCACGGAGAACAAGACAAGGGGTTGTTTTCTAATATAACACATCAGCTCCAACAACACGGGGGTTATCCGTCTGGGGCATATCCTCCGCACGGTGCATATCCTCCACCACCCGGTGCATATCCTCCTCAAGGTTATCCACAAGCAGGTTACCCTCCCAATGCATATCCTCCGCAAGGTTATCCTCAAGCAGGTTACCCTCCCAATGCATATCCTGCTGGTCCATCTGCTCCACACTCAACCAGCTCAGGTAGTTATTTTGTTTTTTATGTTTCTGCATAAGCTGCCTGTATTTTCTGGTATCCTGTGCCCTTCTGATTCAGAATGACTAAGATATATGCCGATGTATTCATACTTGAAGTATTTCATTCCTGTCAAGCCCTTCGTACTGTCTATTAAGTATTTATTCAGCATTGTTTATCATAACCTTCATTGTTTTTGAATGTATGAGACCTCTGGATAAGCAATTAAGTGCCACCTTTCTCACCTGTCATATTTTTGTAGTAGAGCATGTTTGGTAAGGGTTATTTGGCTGAATTCTTCTGAATATTTTGAAATTAAAAATGTTTCATCAAGCCAAAAGCGACTTGTTCTGCTTATTCTCATTATTTTGATGATAAGCATATCTAGCCAGAACTGGCTACCAAATGAAAGCCTAAACCTGCTTCTTACATTCAGGGCATCATGGGCCTGGTGTTATGCCAATGTTAGCGGGAGGAGTTGCAGCTGCGGGACTTGCATATGCAGCTGGTCACATGTCACACGGAGGTGGTAGTCACTTTCCACAACAACATGGAGCTGTTCAATTTGGAGGGCATGGTGGTTATGGCGGTGGACATGGTGGTTATAGCGGCCATGGGAAGTTCAAGCACGGGAAGCATCAGGGCAAGTTCAAGCACGGGAAGCATCATGGCAAGTTCAAGCATGGGAAGGGAGGAAAGCATGGAGGCATGTTCAAAAAGTGGAAATGATTTATTTAACTTGCTCCTTCTCTTTGTACACAATAAAACAACATAACTACTATGGGTTTGCGATTAAAGATTACTAGTTTGGTGATTTCTGCACGGTATAGCAGGTGGTAGATAGAGATCTCCTACCCTAACGACTTATGCACGCGTGCGCGCAAATATATGTACACACTGTCCATCTAAATGCGTTTGTATCTGTATGTTTGGTTCTCCCTTCAAACAATGAATAAGAATGATTAATCGGACTTTCAACTTTTTTAGTCGCACCGTTTATTAATAATTTTCTTTTATATGGAATGGATAAACCTTACCTGCAGCAGCAAGGGGCAACATATCACACATTCTGTCCTATCCCAGATATATAGACAAATATCGAGCTAGCATTGAAACTTGAAAGGGCACCTCTAGCATTTTGTCAGCCAAGTAGCGGGTCACTGGGCCGTCAAAGCAACTAGGTGTCCAGGACAGTGTCAGTGTGAGGATGATGAAGTGTCCCTGAATATTGAGAGGGGTAATTTGATACTTTAGAATTTGAGGTATGACGAATCATTTTTTGAAAATCTATTAAATTTAGTTAGTCTCTCTATTTACATTTGTTATCTCCTTTCATTTTCGACTTGTTTTATATTTTATACCTTTCATTTTCGACTTGTTTTATTTTAAACGTAACTATATTCTATACATTAGCACCCAATTTGTATATTTGCCACTTCAATAAAAATATCAAAACTCTGTGCAAAGCCAATAGTGACCAGTGGCGGATCACATACATAAATTTTGAAGATTCTAATTCATTTTATAAGCTTTGGGTGTTAATATACATAAATCATAACACTAGCACTCACATACATGTATACTTTTCTGGACTTACTAAGAGTGAGCACTTTCCTCCAGAGTTCCGTGATATGTAACTAGATCGTCAAACTCTTTCCCAGCCGGACAAAAGGTACAGTATCACAAACAGACAGATGAAAGCTAGGTCTCTACCCGAAAAAAGGCCTTGTTATCATCTAGATCTTATTTTACACGATCCAGGAACTTCCATAACGTTGGCGTGATTCGGTTTGAGCAACGGATCCTGACGTGATACATCAGTTGGCGTGATTTTGGGTGTTCACATGAATACTTTTGAACAGTTATAGGTCCGCTCGACAAATAACTTAGAAAATGTTGGGGTTGGCAGAGTTGAGGCCCCTCCAACGTTTCCCTCCCTCCATGATGGAGAGAGATAATAAATTCATTAAGAATCAAGGCGTGTTTGTTTGCACCGAAAACTTTTTATATGGTACTAGACGATGAACCCGTGCGTTGCACGGGAATACTCAATACACATTGATGAGATAAAAAGAGATTGATTGATAATTTTGTTACAAACTTATTCCATACTTGAAGTGTTATGAAATCGATCAATGACCGAGTTATGAAAAAAAACATTACAATTTCTTACTTTATCTAAAAAACTGATTAAATCACAAAAATCACCTTTGAAAATTTCGAATGAGGGGAATGTAATTATACAAAGTATTTTTTAAAAATAAATTATCAATACATTAATAAAATAAAACATAGTTATAGACTTATAGTAGAGCACCCTATGAAAACATTACAATTTCTTACTTTATCTAAAAAAACAGATTAAACCACAAAAATCACTTTTTGAAAATTTAGAATGAGAAGAATTTAATTATACAGAGTATTGTTTAAAAATAAATTATTAGTACATTAATAAAATAAAACATAGTAATAGTAGAACATGTGAATAGTGTAAAATTTCTAATGTTACAATTATTTTAGAACGAAAATACTATATATGGTCGTATGAATAGTAAATGACTTTTAAGTGCATGTCTGGATGGGCCAAACAACTCCATTACAAAATCGGAAAATCAATTGTTATGTCTGTCATTTTCTTCAAATCGAATTTGGTGTCATCATTCATCAACATCATCTCCAATGTCATCGTGACATTTGTGCAATTAAATAGTCAAAATGATTTGTTATTCCCACTATATACAAAGTACTCCCCTGTCTCATATATAAAGGTCCCCACTTTTTTTTCTGGATGTCCCATATAAAGTTTTCATTTCTCTTTTAGGAAACAATTAACACTCTTAACTTACAATTTAATCATCATATATTAAAAATAATGCATTTATAACATCACAATTATCACCATTAACCTCATCATATTATATACCTATCAAATTTATTTTCCAAGATATACTTCGATTATTATATTTAATTATTGTCTAAATAATCTTGACATTTTGCAATAAGAACCTTTCAACGGACGGAGGTAGTATATATTACTATTATAATATACTACTAATGATTATTTGAGTCCTACACATATGTATACAATATAAATTACGTGCCTGGATAGACCAAACAGTTGAATTGAAAAATTGTAAAATCAATTGCCCACCTCAATTGCTTTAGGCGGGAAAATTGAAAAATCAATTGGCCACACAAATGACCCAATTGCTCTATATAATACGGAGTATAAAGATTAATTTTGTGTCCGGATAGACCAAACAATTGAATTGCAAAATTGCAAAATCAATTGTCCACCTCAATTGCTTTAGGCGGGAAGATTGCAAAATCAATTGGCTACCCAATTGCTCTATATAATATAAAGATAGGTTGACAAGGATGTTTTTACTTAGACTGTAATTTGCTGGTCTAGCTTGGTTTGTTTAAGTCTGATCTGGTCTGGTCTGGTTTGGTAAACGTATAGTCTCTGTGTATTTTATAACTACGTAAGTCAAGTCTGGTCTGGTTTGGTCTATTTAAGTCTTGTCTTGTCTGATTTGTTTAAGTCTGTTCTGGTCTGGTCTAGGACTAAAGACAGTCCAAGTAAAAACATAACAATGAATATGTATTCATAGTAAAGTTCATAAAATAACATAACCTCTCAAGCTAGGGAGGGCCAGATCTGACCATTCAAATTAAGCTCTCAAGACCCAATAGATGTCCCTTCTTCATTTTTTTAAATATTTGCTATTTTGTTCAATTATAATTTTATTATATTGTTGGATTGCTATTCCTTTGAGTTTATGCATCGAAAGTATCAATTCCACTATTTGTGACTGATAAATGCCTAAGTATCTAAACTATAACGATATTCTAACTGGTGTATGAGTGGGAAGAAGTTCTTGGTGAGTTAACGGCGCCGAGAAGGCGGGTTGCAAAGCAGTGGATTTTGAGCCAAAGGTGAGAGAGAACCGAGCCAATGAGGTCATGTGATCCGACAGCATACTGATGGAAGGAGATGCTGCCGTGGTGGTCGGCGCTGTCGTGCTCTGCATCGTTGCCGTCCTAAGAGGCGCGGTGGAGGTGGTGTGGGCGGCGACTGTAGATGCCATAGGAACGGAAAAAAAAATTAGGGTAAAAACAAGGCTCTTGATATAATAAACAGGCTTAATCAGACTATTTATATCTTCAAATACAATTAGGATACTGACTAATAATTAATATTAATTAATTCTACACTATTAAAGATGATAAGTGATTAATTAAAACTTTCTTCTTTGCTTAATATCTCCATTCTCCACTATTGTTAGTTCTACACTAGCTCTGAAATAATTCCTCTCTAGTTATAGCCTACATATAACTTAACTTGTTGGTGGGAAAGGTCCAATGAAATCCATTTCCTTGTTTTCATTGAGTTTTGTTGCATCTTTGGTTTTGTGCACCATCCTTTTTTCGTACTCTTATGTTCTTGAGCGCTTCATGTTCAATAAGAATATAGGATATCTTGTTTTGACAATATAGGACGACTCTTCTATCTTTCCTCCTTTGAATATAACTCATCTCTTTAACTTGCTTGAGTTATTTCTTAGGCTCATGCAAGAGGTCTTCTTTTTTTTGTGTGTTTCATATTAGTATACATGTATACATTTAGTTCAATTATTTATTGTTCTTTCAAGTTTTAATTGTATAAAATAAATGAACACCCAAAACCTAAATCATAAATTCGCCACAGACCATAACGACATAACTTCACGTTTGGACCCGCACGGGTAACTCAGTTGGTTGAGTTATGTGAAAATTTGAGGAATGGCCTATGTTTGAAACCCGCAACGAACGTGTGGAGGTTACTGCTCTTGCGTGCTCGGTTGGACTTCTGGTGCGCGCCGGTATAAGGTCTTCCACCGTTGGGCTGACTGAGTCAACGTGATTTACATCCTCCCATATGTCTTGTCGGGTCGGGGCATGGGGCCATTGGGGTTTGGGGATTCAACCTTTTGGAGGAACAACTTCATGTTTTGGGATTTTTATGCACCCATTCTTGACTGTGTAAACTGTATGTAAGAATCGGAAGTTAGCACTAATGCACTATAAGTAACAGAATAGTCAGAAACGAGAAGGGATGTAGCGTTTCTCATTCTTAAAATCATTTTCCTGTGAAACCAGAATCCTTTTGATGTAAATTTTCTCTGCACAATTCCTTGTGGTTAAAGATCATAAAAGCTTTCACTAAATTGTCTGAATTACATCCTTCATCTTAAATTAGTGTAGTTAGTTCTTGATTTGCTACCCTGATATTTCCCTGCGCTTATTGCAATTGGGTGGAGCTGTGATTCTTTTTCCTAATCCAAAATTTCCTTCATTAAAAGTCTCACCAAAAGTTTCAAAAAAATCATCAACGCTAGATTTTCTTCTTTTTCCTTCATTAAAAGTCTCACACTAAAGCTTCAAGAAAATTACTCTCGCGAGCACTGTTTTCAATAATAACAATTTGATTAGAAAAATCTAAGGGGAATGAGTAAAAAAATTGTTGAAACTAATAAAAAACTCAGATGTTTTGATTCTCCCAACCATAGACTAAAGTCGATACACCTTACAACCACAAAGGTAATCATACGAGAACTCTTGATTTCACACTTATAATCAAATTTCCCGTGTTCAATTGAATCAATCTTAGAGTTTTGGATACTAAAGTGTGCTAAGTACTTGGATTTGTGAAAAAAACAATTAAAAGGTTGATTTAGCTTCTGTATTTGTGAATGGTAGAGAAGAAGCATGATATGTGAGCACGTGGTTGGTGTATATGTGTGGAAGATTTAATGAGGAAATTGGTAGTAATGTGATTGAGGAGTTGAACAAAATAAAAAGTGGGTCATGATACGATTATCTTGACTATTTGAACACTTAAAAACGATTAATTCCAAGGAAATTGAAAACTTCTTGATGAGTATTTCGTGGGATAGCTTCATTGATGGTCTAAAACTTGGTATGAAACCGTTTGTTAAGAACTAAATACTTA